CTAATGTACCGACTTCATAACAATGAAAATTTGGATAGAGAAGAAAAAAAGGAAGCATTGGAAAATAAGTGAATTAAACCTTCACGATATACTTAAAGATAATAAACTTAGGACCTTAGGTGGAAAATGAGTTAAGTGCTTCTTAACTTAACAAATAGAAATATACTTATACCATAAAAGAAAAAGAGAACATAATTATTTAAAAAAAAAATTATTTTGATTTTTTTTTTTTATTATTATTATTATTAGGTAAGTTGGAGCGTAATAAGTTTCTCGGATTTTTTAGAGCTTGATTTTCTGCTGAAATTAACAAAAGATATGTTAATGAAATAATATGAAATAATAGGACAAAGATATTTTTAAGTAATAAGGAAGATACTTACATCGTAATTTGCGTATTTGCCGGTGAAGAGTAGAAATTGATTCTACTTCATGGTTCTCCAGCTCCTCAACCCTATCTTCTGCATTCCAGAGTGCATTAATAGTCCTTTGGTGAGCATTTTGGAGCTCTTGTAGTGCATTAGTAGTCTTTCGATGAGCATTTTGGAGCTCTTGTATCTTGGTTTGCGAAGCATCTAATGCAAGGCATGTTCCCAGGCCTCTGTTATAACAATCGACTTTCACTGAGCAATAAAAAAAAATACATAACATATATATATAAATAATGGGTGGTTAGCAAAAGCTAAGTGAATAAGTCGATAGTCCATGGAAGCATTCTTCAGGATTGTTCCATTTAAGAACTGAGACTGCCTGGAGGTACAAAACCTCATCTTCAGATGACCCATCTAAAAACCGGACAGCTCTGGGAGTATAAAACTCCGTCTACAGATGACTCCATTAGAGAAATACAACCATGAACCTTGCGTACGATACCCACTTTTCAAAAATTTTACGGTCATCATACGCTTTGCTTTGAACGTCTTAAAACGCTCCTTAGATTTTTTCTGCGAGGTTGTGAAACGGTGAGAACCCATAATGGCGTTAATAAAATATAATTGATGAAAAGACAAAAATTATTGAGCGAAAGTAAAGGGTATGGAATGATGAAAGGTAGATTGTATATAATAAAAATACGCGTTCTGAAAAACGCGAACAAGCTGATGAAAAATACACATGAATTTTAGAATAATTATTTTTAGAATAAGGAGAATAGCAATTTTAAATTAGTAATACGTGATAAGTTACACGATATATTATTTTGAGATTTGAGCCGATTTTTAATAATGTTATTCAAATTTATAGAAAATTCATTCTTTTTATTAAAATGATATTTTTTTATTTAAAGGAATAACTGCCATATAATTTTTTATCTTTCTCACTTCAACATTAAATTACATGTAATAATACATTATATATTGGTATTATACTATCTCTATCCATAATTCTATATTACATGATTTTATGTCGTTATATACTTGACAATAAAATCTTATCTTGAGAATCATGAATCGGTTTATACCATTTAACTAGTGCAAGTAATTATTTAAATAGACCTGTCCCTTAAGGTCTATAGGTCCGGAATGTCTAAAAATTTGCAAATCACATGAATTTTCACTCTGGACCCACAATGGTTAGTATTTACGAGTGATAGTTTAGCCGTTTCCAAACTGATACATACGCCCAATTGCAACAATCATGATTAAAAAAAATACTTTTGTCAATTGATTGGTTACTATAAAATCGCCTTATATTGTTTGACATTCCAATTGTCGAAAACGGCAATAATCATTGTATAATTATTTGTTAATATTTCACGTGAACAAACAAATCAATAATTTTTTATATAAAACTTTCTCCATCCCTTTATCGAATTTTAGAACGATGGTTGATGATTGTTTTGCTAAGTAAATTTCATTTTACGATTTTTAATAGTGATATATAAATGATAATTAATTAAGTGATATCGATGGTATTAATTTTTAGTTTAATTTTAATAGTGATATACACATGATAATTAATTTAGTTTAATTAAGTGATATCGATAATATTAATTTAATTAAGTGATATCGATGATATTAATTTTTAATTAAGAGATAACGATTATGATATTATTTTAATGATGTAAGTAATGGTTAAATAGGTGACTTTTCACCTTTCTTTTCGTTTCAATCTTGTTTCTTTACATTATTAAAATAAAGAAAAAAAATAAATTGACGCTTAATCTTATTTCACATAACGAATCACATCCTCGTTCTCCTTCTCAGGATTGCTCTCAGCAATATCATCAATCTCCCTCCTCTCACTCTCGTCGACGTCGATGTCAACATCATTCTTGTTCTCTCTCCCCCTCTCCCTCCTCTCACTCTCGTCGACGTCAACGTTGACATCATTCTCGTTCTCGACACCATTATTATTCTCTCTCTTCCTCTCCCTCCTCTCACTCTCGTCGACGTTGACGTCGACATCATTCTCGTTCTCTCTCCCCTCTCCCTCCTCTCACTCTCGTCAACGTTGACGTCAACATCATTCTCGTTCTCTCTCCCCCTCTCCCCCCTCTCACTCTCGTCGACGTCAACATCATTATCATTCTTCTTCCATTTTTCATTCTCAACAATCTTCTCTCCCATCTAGGGGGAGATCGTTAACAAAAAGTATTATTATTTATATTATTATTGAAATTATATTTAATATGACCTGTACTAATTACTTGTAAAATAATAGGAAATTTGCCGGATTTATTGGAAGGTGGTTATATATATATTATTATCAAATCAATTAAAAATATAATAAATTTATAATATTTTATTAACTTCTGATAGGTGGACAACAGCAACATCATCAAGAAGAGCAATCTTCGCAATCTTTAGGTGAGGACCCATTCATATCATCGCTTCATCAACTTCGCGCTTCATTGCATAACTGTTTTTCCTATTATAAAATTATTAAATCAAGAAATTCAAGAACTAAAAAGCGCGGTATCACAATTGTCTAGTTGACTGAAGGCTTTGACAGGCAGTAACTCCAGCCATTCCAGTGATAAGATGATCGTGAGTATAACAACAAGTGTTAATCGAAGTCTATCACCCGTAATAAGCAGAAATAAAGGAAAAAACTATCACCAATAACTCCAATCTTTAAAAAAACACTTCGTGTAAGTTACACCTCTATTATAAAATATTTATCTTTTATAATCTTTAATCATATTTATTATTATTTNCTCCAGCCATTCCAGTGATAAGACGATCGCGAGTATAACAACAAGTGTTAATCGAAGTCTATCACCCGTAATAAGCAGAAATAAAGGAAAAAAACTATCACCAATGACTCCAGGCTTTAAAAAAACACTTCGTGTAAGTTACACCTCTATTATAAAATATTTATCTTTTATAATCTTTAATCATATTCATTATTATTTTAAATAGGATGAAGTTGTTCAAATCATTAATAATTTAGGTTCCAGAATTTCATTTGATGTTTCACAAACGTTTAGTGACCAGAAGAAATCAATAAACAAAAAACTTTTACCAGCGGTAAAAGCGGCAATGAATCCATCGATTGAAGTATACGATACCGAGATTGTTAATGTAATCAAAAAGCTTCATAAGTCTCGCCGAGATATCTGGAAAATAACCCAGGATGGCAAATTAGATACGCACAGTAGACGTCAACATATGACTTCTCGGCGAGACCAAGTACGAAATTTAATAAAATGCAAAATTTGTCAATTATTTCTAATTGTCTATGCAATCAATTAACATTATTAATTAACTATTAATTAACTTTTTAACAGAAAATGACGCGTCGTAAATGCGGTTTACAACACATGATTAACACAAAAGACAAGGTTTTAAATGACTGCAAACCTCAAAAAATTACCTGGGACGAGTACATGAAAGATTGTGAAAAAATTGTAGTGATCTTGGAACTTCATTCCGATAAGTGGTCATCGGAAGATAAAAATCTTGCCAACAATGAAAAAAATCTAGAGAAAAGACCAGAACGTTTAGATAAATTGAATTCTGTAATCAAAATACATGAAAAAAAATGGCAATCTACGAGAGTATGTAAAGTTATTTCTTTATCAATATAACATTTATAAATAATTTTTTTTTTAATTAGATTAGGAGAATTCTAAGTAGGGCGGATGAAATCGGGGAGAGTATTGGAACTGGTCTAATCCGTATGCGTCATCGTTTAGATAATGTCATCAATAATAAAAGTAGACTGACAGAAAAAATGCCAGACTGGTGGATTTCTTCCACCTGGGCGCCAGTTAGCGAAAACAGCGAAGACAGCGAAGACAGCAATGAAAGTCATAATAAAGGTGGCGATAATAATGATGACAATAATAATAATAATGACAATAATAATAATAATAACAATAATAATAATAATGACAATAATGATGATGACAATAATAATAATGATGACAATAATAACAATAGTGACAATAATAATAACAACGAATTCGATGACAACAACAACAACAACAACAACAACAACAACAACAATAACAACAATGATAATAACCCTTTAATAGTTTTATAAATATAATATATGTAACAATAATATAATAATAATATAATAAAAATATGATATATCCTTTAATAAAAAAAATTAGTTATAATTTAATCAAATACAAATGTTATATAATTCAAATTCGTCATTCCGATTTACATATAAACAATTTTATATAAGATTCATTTGTTTTTTAAAATGAAATTTTTTTATTTAAAGGAATCACGGCCATATATTCTTTTATCTTTCTCATTCCAATATTAAAATCACATTTTATAAATTTTCCTAATATATGATGTACCGGTATAATACTATCTCGACTCATATCATAAAACCCATTTGTCCATAATTCTATATATATTACATGATTTTATGTCATCGTCTACTTGACAAAAATATCTTGTCCTATGATCTTGGGCCGGCCTGTACCATTTAACTAGTGCTAGCGAATGAGTTAATGATGATGAATTTTTTAAATAAATAGTATGTTCAAAATAAAATTGAACTTGACCGGGGTATGTGTCTATAGTTCCATCTTCCTACTCAAAATGAGCTAATATGTATGATGATTTCTCATGACGAGCTGCCTGAATGGAACCAAATATATCCGCCCCAATTCTTATTCTACCGTATTATATAATTTTGGAAATTACAACAATATCGTTATTTGGACCCGTTATAGAATAAATGGGGATGAAATGTTCTTCATACAAACTATTATAAAATTCAACCAGTAAGTCCAAGACGCGGTTTGGGAGACATGTTTCTTAGCGCGGTTTCATTAACAACCCAGAAAAACGTTCTGTTCCATAAGCCGATTCATTTTCGATAAGTGAAAGCCTCAGAAAATTTTGATACTCATCACTTGTAAAATCATCAAGTGCAGCAAAGCTTCCTGCAGATTTTCTAGGCTTTATAATGTCCAAAGTGGTGTTTAATATATTGCTATCGCAATTTGTGAGGTAATAGTTTAAGGGTAAAGTATATGTCGATCATTTTTTATGTGTAGCGGGTGGCAAATTATTTTACTATAGGTTTGCCGATCATTTATTTACATTTTAAATATACAACTGATACTAACAACCAATAAAATTCAAGATTGCCTAGTCGCAAAAACATATATGCCTAGTCGCAACTTCATTAGGTGTTTTTTAAAGATTTTTTGATAAAAAAAGTTTTTTTAATTAAAAAAATAAAAGTTCAAAATTGTGGCTTTCTAACGATATAAATTTTATTTATTTATATTAAGTATTACAAAAGTTTATATTGTACAGAAAATAGTGCTACTATGTAATAAGGAATTTGACAAGTCGATCTATATGAAGTATCACGTGATACACTCTACCCTTAAAAAGAAACTTTCAACCATTATTTTTAATAGCTCTGGTTCAATATTACGTTTGCTATTTTTATAAGATCCTATGTTCTTAAGAAATAAATTGGTCAATCTGTATAAATTAAAAAAACAATACGATTTTCAAATCGGCGAAATTAATATATCATACCTAGAATTCCGTTCATTCGTTCGAAGCTAAAACACCAAAATGAGGATAAAGGTACATAATCTAAAGCGCATTCACATATGTGAAGGCATAAATGCAGATTTGGGCTTATTTTTTTTTGTCTGTATTTTTTTTCAATTAATTTATTCATTTCGAGTAGTTTTGTAAATGCTTCGTTTAGCTCGCTTTTTTGTAATTCCCGATTTGTTAAAATTTTACAGGAACGTACGAAATAAGCAAGAATTTTTCGATCGATCTCTCCCAAGAGATTCCATGTGATAGGTATTGCAAAAATTAGAACAAACGTTTTCCACATGTCCGCCGTAAAATTTGAAAAGCTGTCGCCAGTGGCTATTCTAACGGGATGGCGACCGAGGTCACTTGGAAATTTTATCAAGTCGGCTTGCTCTTGCATTATTTTGAGCTTTTTATTATTTAATATACCTTCGCCGATCCAGAGCTTCATTACAATCCACTTTGCTACCCCGAGAAAGAGGCAGTGCATGGAATCAACTACGCAAAAGCGCACAGAATTAAAATAAGGTAATTGGTATACTTCCGACCAACGAACATGATACTGTAAGACATGAGCCTTACGCGATTCTTCGGTTGCACATTTCTTCCATTCACGTGCCTTCTCCCTTATTAAATTAATATCTTTCTCAACAAACCAGTCGTCAATGTCTTCAAACCCACCAAAATTGGGTTGATTATTTACCAAGTTTGCTGATTTATAGCATCGATAACATGCGATTTGAGCTGATATAAAACCACATAATTTTCGAGTCACAGGAACATCACTAGCACAACCTACTATCACGCCACAGATAAAACGACCGTTGTTATATTTGTAGGTTTTTATATGATACCCTTCCCATAACCGATTCAGCTGATTTATGATGGGGTATAAGTAATTGTTGATTTCATGTTTCTTTGACTCTTTAGGACTGGGTATAACTGCTAGTGTGAGAATATTGTAGGGCTTAAAACGTTCGCTTCGAGGTAAGTTACAAATAATGGCATATATTACACCGACAGAATATTGGGAATTTATATAGGGTTGAAACCAATCCATGTTTAGCATTAATCCGATATGAGTTTCGGCGTATTCTTTTTTGAAGAATGGTTCTCCTTTGCCATCTTCAAAACTCATCCAAATCCTCCCATCATAGATGTCAAATAAGGCTTCAGTTTCGTTTTTCCTTTCTGCCCACTTTTGACATGTCACCTCAAAATCATTGCGACCGAAAAATAGGGTTAATTGGCGCCTAATGTTAACTAATAGAAATGTTATTATCAGACGGATAATTGGATTATTGCCACCATCTTTATTACTGTCTATTTTTTTGACTAGAGGGTTATTACATTTTTGTCGAAATCTTTCTTTGTTATGATTCAGGTAGTTTATAAAACTACATGTTGGTACTTCGGTTGTGTTTGATATTTCATTTATGTCATACAATTTGTGACATTTATTACATGCGGCATATTTGATAATATTCGTTGATATTCCCAATATTTTTTTGGCTACGTACAGGGAGGAAGGAAAAGATAAAAATTTATTTTCATCTACCGTTAAAAGAAAAAACCTTAGAAATTTAAATAAAGAATCTATTGAAACATTAGGAAGCTTATATCTTTGTTGATATTGTAATATCCATAAGATAATCCAGGTATAATTATCATTGTTGATATTAGGAAGTTTTGGCAAAATTTTTTGACGCAAAATTGACTTCTTCCTTATCATCATCTTCAAAATCTTCAGAGTCTCTATATTCTTCATCGCTTTCAAATCCAAAATTACTGTCTTCGTCATCATCTTCAAAATCGCCAGAAATACCATCTTCGTCATCATCTTCAAAACTTTCAGAATCTCTATTTTCGTCGTCATAGTCTTCAAAATCTCTATCTTGATCATTATTCATATCTTTTCCGTTATCCGGTAATAAATTTTCAAGAACGTAATCAGATATTTTCCCTTTCTTTGTGAATTTATATTTTGCCGATTCATGTATAGGTATCATCTCGAGTAAAGGTTCGCATTCCATTGCATTATTCAGTATATTGTTTAACATCAGAAGGCCCAGCCTCTTGATAATCATCACAAAAATTATTAGATGGATTAGCATTAGAAGGCTCAGCTTCTTGATAATTGTTACTAAAATTATTATTCGCATAAGATATATTATATTTTAACTCATATTTAGTTTTCGTTCTTGGGTCCACTAACTTGCCATTACATTCTTTACAAAAGCAGTATACTTTAGTTCTTGTTCTTGTTATCAGGTCAGTTCTATTAGATTTGGCAACAGCTCGAGGGTTAGACATTTTTTTATCTAGGAAAATTTTTTGAAAATTTTTTTTTATATAGGAAATTTTTTTGAAAAATTTTTTTATCTAGGAAATTTTTTGAGATCCTGAATTAATATGTTATTTTCTTTAATCCGCATATATTATGTTTCATTAAGAGAATTATTTATATTAAAGATTCGCTAGATACTTATTAAAGTGAAACAATCAGCCACATTTTTGAAGCACAGTGAATAAATATCACCATATTAGTATATGTATTTATTTAATTTGTATTAATCAAATATTTACTCAAAATCTTTCAGGATTTTAACCAATTATATATATATGATTGGAAAATACCACCTGACAGGCACTTTTGCGCCTCTCCCACCCCTAAAATATAGCATAATGAATGTTATTAGCCATTTTTAGCAATAATACATGTTTTATTCATCGAATTATAAATTCCGAGATTAGCCAGAAAGATTATTTTCGCAAACCATCATTGAATTCTCGCAAATCCTCGTGAAATCGCAAAAAAATAGAAGAGAGCGAATGCTAAAGGGAAGGATGAGAAAGTTGCCGATTTGCAAGTCCAGTTGCAGGACTTTAAAAAAGTTGTGTACGATTCGGGAGAGAAATTACTTAATAAGTTGGAGAAACGTTCCCGTGAAAACAATAATTTGGTGGAGTGATTAAAAATATACGATGAAAAAATAAAAGACTATGAAAAAGAAATTTATGATTTAAATTTACGATTATATTTTTCGCAACAACATCAACAAACGCAGCTGCAACAACAACTGCAACAACAATCGCAACAACAACAATCGCAATCACCTACATTTAGCAGCTTATCAGAATACTTCAAATTTCACAAGTCATGATTAATCAATTATATTTCATTTTTTCATTTTTTTGGCTTTTGCGTCTAGATAAATTTGAAAATTCCTTTATATTTTGTAAATATGATGTTTTTTTTGGCTATTAAACCAGCTTCTTTTTCATAATACAAGATAAGATAATATTAATACCTTTAAAATCGATTTAAAATGTCATAAATTTTGTATAAAATCTAATAGTAATTAATCATCATACTGCATGTAACAAGTATCTCAACGAACGATTTATCCATCAGCGCCGAATGATCGTGATAAACTTGCATCTATCATTTTAGTAGTTATACATATGAACTATAATTTAAACAAAAAAGTCAGTCTAGTATGGGATCATTCTCCCTATCGATATGGGGAACATCTCCC